TTTAAGTATTTCTTGCTCACGATAAAATGGTAGTCGAATTGTATAATTACCAAAAAAAAAAAAAAAGACATGCTATTGAGCCATGGTGGTTTGGGACTAACTGTTCGGACACAGAAATTTCAGCAAGCATTGATTACGCTTCTGATAATATTTTTCATACTTAATGAGATGGTCAATGACAAGTTAGATGAAAGGGTAACTAAAAACTATATTTTCACTCAAAATGGCAGAGAAATTGTTTTTAATGTAACAATATAAACCATTGAAGGGACTGTGATCTAGCTGTTAACTCAATTTAATAGATGAGAACTTGAGGAGGAAGTTCAGATTCTGACTCAGGCATTCAAAATTATCTAGGTACCAACAGAAGTTCAGACCAAGAAAAGTAAGTTTATGTACAACTAATTGCAAGAATATAAGTGTATTTGGAATAATTATTCACCACCAATCACACAATTTAAACTAATAAGTCACAAATGCAAAAAAGGGTTTATATTATCTTTTCCAAAACAGTTAATAACTTAAGAATATCGTAGAATAGTTGACTAAAATGCTTCTAAGAACTTAAACTCCATGTTAATTATGCTAATTATGTGTTTTAAAACTTAGTTTCTAGAAATTGTAAAGATATTGTAACCACACCTAGTAGAAACAAGACGAGAACCCAGCATCCTAACAGGAAAAATTAATTCCTTAGGTATGCTTTGTCACCGTTCATGTATATAAAAATATATTCATTTTACGTCTGTTGTATATTATCCAGTCTCAATCAACAATTTGCTTCTTTACCCTAGTAACAATAAACTAAACCATTTTTAGCATACCCATTGATTTACGTCTTAAACTCAATTCCCCATCCAATACTTTAATACAGAACCAGGCACTGGAGTAAATAGCGTTAGCTTTTCTTTGATAAAACACCAAGGCTGCTTTTTAAAACAAAGCCAATTTACTGATGTAATCTATGAATTAATGTGCCTTATAAATATGCCTTGTTAGCTGATTAATGAAATGCTTATAATTGCAAATTATAAATTAGATTGAGGCAGATGGAAAGACAAATGAACTTATCTGAGATGTAGGTCCTATTACACTTAAGGCTTAGTTAATAATAAATTCTCGGGTAATTTGGGGTGATTTTCTGTCCTGTGCACTAATCATACCCTTCATCAGCTTTAGTGACTGAGGTGAGCCATTGTCCTCCACTTCTACCTGAAACACATTAACTAAAAATTGATTTTTTTTCCCACTCTTATTTTCAGAAAGTGCAATCAGCAGGTGACACTTCAAGAAGAAAACCAATGTCATCATTTCACTTTCTATTTTTATTTTTCCCATCCTCTTAACTCCTACAAGCTTGCTACCTCACTAGAGATGTTAGTTGGGTTTCTTCAATATTTCTTTTGAGACTTTGGACATCATTCATTTATTTGCCACATATGAAAAAAAAATCAGCCACACAAAGCCCTGGTATGATTTTTTTAAAAGGGAAGCCTATCCTATGTGGGAAATGGGTAAATGGAAGATTTAGTTGAATGAAATGCAAAGAAATCTAAACTGGAAGCTTGAACAACAGGAGCAGAGATTAAAAATTTAGAAAGAGGAAGCCCATTGTAATTAGTTTTAAAGATGGAGTAGAATTTTGTCCACTTTTCAGATTGACATAGTATTATAGGTTAAAGAAGACATTTGACCATAGCATGGAGTTTAATAGCCTTTCATAAAATTTAGCATGTGAAATTGCATCTCTAATTCTCATATAAAACTGAATAGAGTGAATTAACTATCACTTCTAGTACAAATTCATTGAGTTAAAACTAATTGGAAGCATAATAATAAATGTTGTCAACAAGAGCTGGATAATAAATGTGCTAATATGGACAGGGATAAATCCCACCAGGCTTCAACCCTACAAAAAAGGACTACAGGAAACTATAGAATGAGACAGTGAGATAGTCTTCCCCAGGGAAGAGAATACCAATTGATTATCCAATACAAAATATTCATCCCTGAAAACACACATATAAGTAACATTATATAGACTGAAGAGGGTATATTTATATAGAGAAATAAGTAAGTATATATGTAGATATATATTGTTTTTAATATAAATATTTATGTATATACATATCTATAACAAAAATAACGCAAAAAGAGGCTATCAATTTGAGAGAGCAAGGAAGACTATGTGGAAGTGTTTGAAGGAGGAAAGGGAAGGGGGAAATGATGCAATTATATTATAATTTCAAAAAGATAAATAATGCTATTTCAATGCATCCTAAGGCACTGAGATGGACTTGGGTCACAGTCTGCAGATATGCACTTTCATATTCATTATTATGTATTTTTGTGACACTCCAGAATTTCCATTAATGCGTCTTGCCCTTCTTATCAAGGAATATTTGAAAAACTCCTGTTTGTAGAAAGAGTATAAAGTAGAGGCACAAGGGTGTTCCAAGTTTCTTCTGACATTTCTTTTCCCTTCTGAAATGAACTTTAAAGACTCATTCCAAATGCTATGAAATATAAACCTGAATAAAGATTTAAATTTACATGGGGGCACTTCTCTGACTTGTCTTTCAGTTCTCCCATAAACTACTAGTTCCATTCATTAAATGTGGCAAATAGTAATATTTATGATACCCAACTCCATGGTCAAGGATTTATTATTCTCTGCTTATTGGACACCTTGAGACTCTCAGTGGAGGAGTACAGCGTGTGTGTGCACACAATATCAGGAATGCATGGTCTCCCATGAAAGAGCCACATGCTCCAAATATTCACCAACATCTTACCTTAAGATCCAGGAGAGCCCTAACCTATCTTCTCTGACTGCTGTTGAACCCATGAATGGCCTGATCCCAGCTTTGGCATTGGCAGCTCTGCTGTCAAACTCTAAGTGAATATGATTACCCATCTCTGTATTTGTGCATTCTCATCCTCTTATCATGCACCTGAAGCTGGTAAAAAAAAAAAAAAATGATCACTTTACACTCATACTACTTTCTGGTTGGAATAATCCTGGATGGGACGTGTGTGGTGGACAGAAAAACCATGGTGTAATGAGTATTAGCAGTCTTAAAACTATAATACCCAGGCACTCATCTTGTATTTCACAAGAGATGAACAAATAATTATATGAATGTCAATTAAGATGAATGTTTAGCGGGGAAATAGGATGACCTAGTAGTCATAGGTGAGAGGCATCTGGGACAAAGGGGGAGTGTCAGGATTTCAGGTCAAGGAAGATAAAGTGCCAAACACCAAGGAAAAGAGCATCTTGGTGTGCATGGAAACAGTTACATTCTTCTCATGCAGACAAAACAGATAATCATTATTTTTCTTCAAGTTGTTAGTATTAGTAATTTTGAGCATACTATAGATGAAGACGTGTGTTGTGGAACATTACTTGTTATGTAAAGATGTGTCACGTTTGTTTATATTGCAGAATATTACTTTAACTATGTAAAGGTGTGTTATAATTGTTTGTGCTGCATTTGTTTAACTAACTAAAGATGTGTTGCTGTTTCACCTTGCCTGACTAAGGCACCCAATTGGTCTAATAAAAAGCTGGATGGATAACAGCTAGGTAGTAGAGGGATAGGCAGGGCTGGTGGGCAGAAAGAATAAGTAGGAGAGAAAAGAACAAGGGAAAAAGAGAAGAAGATGCTCGAAGCCAGCTAGCCAAGCAGCTGCCAGCCGGAAAGACATGGAGGAAGCAGGGAAAGTAACATATACAGAATGAAAGAAAGCTTAAAAGCCCCAAAGCAAAACACAGATGAAGAGAAACTGGTTAAAATAAGTTACAAGACCCAGTGGGACAAGCATAAAATAAGGCCGAGCATCCATAACTAATAGTAAGTCTCCATGTTATGGTTTGGGGCCTGGCAGTCCAAGAAAGACTGCTGTAGACATGAGTTAAGAGATTACCATTTAGAAATATTTCAAGAGTGCTCACAGTTTGTGATGTTCTCAACACTACTTATCAATGTAAGGATCAAATCTGAGACTAGAGACAGTCTGGCACAGTGAAGAAAAAGGTAACATTAAGGAAAGACAACCCAAGATATGTGTAACATACACAGGCACTGAAGGTAAGAGATTTCCTACCTCAAAAAATCTACAGATGTGTATACTTAATACTAGCACTCTGTGCAAGTGGGAGACATTGTTTTTGCATTATTATCACAATATCACATATATGTTACCTTAAACCACTTAGAAAATGACTATAGGTGACAACTAGATTTTAAATATATATATATATATATATATATATATATATATATATATATATATATATATATGTATATATATATATTTGAATGATATGTCTCTCATGTTCTAATTCAGCAAAAATGTTACTAAGTATAAGAAATTAAAACCTGAAATTTTCCCTTGAAAAGCTTATTGTCAGTTATAAGAGACAAACATGTAATTAGAGAATATCGAATTATTATAACAACATATGAAAATGGAAAGAGATACTTCACTAAATCTTCCTCAAGTAAACAGTGTTGAGGAAAAAATTGCAATATATGTAATTTAGTTAGAGCAATAAAAGGTGTTATATAGGGTTCAAAAACTAACCTACGATAGCCATGTTTCCAGATTTGAATGGGTACAATAAGCATATAGCAAGCAAAAATACAAATAAATAAACAAACAGCAAGTAGCAGATAGAAAGAAGTAACAGACCGAGAGCAAAAGATCATCAAATCAGTCACTCCCTACTTCCAGCCAAGATAACTACAGCAGCATGACAGAGAAGGGAACTGAAAGTGACATCATCAAGTCAGGGCTTACAATGTCCACCAGAAATCAACTGGGGAAGTCGAGGCAGTCATCTGGAGTTCCAGATTGAGCTCTGTCTCCGTGGCCGAGCTTGTCTTCCCTTTCCCACCAAAGCATGTTTATTCCACGGCATACATGGCAGTAACCTCTGATAGCAACGGCTTACCTTCCTCTGTTGTCAAAAGCAGTGATTTCAATACCCTTACCTGCTTGCTCTTTCACTTCCCCTGGTGCGGAGTTGAGGGACCAGGACTCTCTCCTATAAGAATTCAAATATGCCTGTCAATCACCTGGACAGCACAAAAGTTTCTCACAAAAAAAAATGCTTATTCCAAAGAGTTTTTAAAATAGTATAAATGTAGGTTAGAACAGTTTTCTCTCTAATAATTGTCCCCTCTTACCCCTTGAGATGATGTTCTGCTCCATAATTAATTCTGCCTATCATCTATGTTATACTTTGTTTATCTCATCTAGATTTTTTTTGGATCAACACCACAGGGGCCAGGGAGACAAGTTGAGTTAAGATAATGTTCCCAGCAACAAGCTTACTCCAGACTGTCTTATAGACACAAGTGAATGTAAATGATTATAATTTTGTATCTCCCTATTTCATAGCAAATATTTTAGGACTGAATATCTACACATTATTGAACATGGCTAACTCTGTTGATGGACCAAATGCCTGTTGGTTTCTTACTTTTATTTTATAGTGTTTGTAAATGTGCTGTTCACTTTTACAGTAAAAAAAAAAAAAATCGCATATGTGTATTTTTCATGGTGCAAGAACCTCTCAAATTTTGTAGTGTCTTTCCTTTTAAATAAATTTCAGTCACTAACTTTATCTTCAGGATTACATTAAAGAATTTTCTCTAGCAATTGCATTTGAGGGCCAAAGATAACAAAGTAAAACCCTCCAAGATTCCAGAGAATTTTTTTCTCAAGGTATTTCCTTCATTATTATCTCAGAAAAAAGATGAAGTGAGAGAGAACTCAGATCTCAGGATATTGTTTCAAAAGATAATTATATAAAAGTGTCTCATGCGGTGCCTTGTGCACAGGAATAGATGTTCATGTGGAATTAGGTTCATTTGCACAGTCTCCCCTAATATCCCATTAGTCAGTTTGGGGAAAAGTCTGCCTGAGGGTTTTTCAAGTTCATACTCATTTGCATTTGTGATGGTGGCCACGGAAAATTGCACTGTCTCTTTACAAATGCAATTAAGAGGGAAAAAAAAAAAAAAAACTTGGGAAGGTTCTGGCCTTTTAGATTTTCATGAAATTTTCAGTGTCTGATTTGACATTTAAGTTTCTGATTTTCTGTGATCTGTCATTTATGAACGCTGCAGTGAATAAGCGAGTCATTAAACAGCTGCACAATTTGGGGGACTTTTCACAGCCCAGTCATCAAACACAGCAGGGGATCAGTGAGGATTAGGCGCAGGGAAACAGACAGGCGTTTTAATTTGAGTAATATTAACATTCGCAGACTGTCATATTAGGAACGTCACTGGCGGTGCGCGAGCTCTGCTACTGAGGCAAAGGCTGCAAGCGACAAAGAAAGGGCAGCAGCCACGCAGAAGTGTCACCCATGGCTGGAGGGTAGGAAAGCCAGGTGAGGCAGGACTCAAAGAGACACCAAGGGGAGCCCCCAGAACATTCCCAGCTTCGGGAAAATGCCGCATCCTACTCCAAAGCGTGTCTATAAAGAGATTGCATTTTCCGGTTGCGGGCCATCAGCCTGCAGTGTCTCTTTGTTGTAATGAGGACATTACAGAGACACAGGGAAGATAACAAATCTATAACATGGCTCCTGACTAAGTGAAAACGTGAGTCATTAGACAGCTGCACGGGTTTGGGGGACTTTTCACAGCCCAGTCACCCAAGGCAGGGACTCCAGAATTCAGAGACTCCTGGCGTCCGGGGCTCAGTGAAACTGTTTACAGATTCAGGTACCTACAGGATAACTCCTGGTAATAAATCAGAGGTGGGTTTTGACAGAAGACGGATGGGAATTGACAGAGAAAATTAAAAGTATACAGACAGTCAAATGGCAAGCTAACTGCCGTCTGAAAATTCTAAGACCAAAAATCAGTGTGCGAACAATGCTGAGCAAGGGGAAACGGCGTTGAGTCTGCCTTGTTCAGCTTCTCAGTCTGTTGACACTTTCAATACTGTATAGTGACCCAGTATATAGTGACCCAGTGGCTACGGACCTAGCACAGCCTTCGCCAAATGCAGCATCTCCCCCTCCACCTCTGAAACCAAGGACTCGGGCACCCACCGCCCCACAGGAGAGCACCGTTGAGAGCAGACTAGAGGCCTTCACGTCTACATAAGGGGTGTAGACAGTGGAGGTCAGAGAGGTTACACCTCTGTGATTAGTCAGGAGCCAACTAACAACATTCTTGTTCCTTAATTACACACTAGTGGAATGTTAAGGAAAGAGAGCTTACATATACCTACACAGGGCGTGGATAAACTGAGAACTCTAGATAACGTTTCTTTTAATCCTACAGAAGATCTGTCGGTGTGTCACTTCATTGTGAAAAACAGCTTCCCTGGCATGCAAAGTAAACAAGGACACGAAACCCATCTTCCCGGCAGCTAAATCAACTGATTACTTCTCCTAAAAAGTGTCGAATCATTGTGAACAGATAAAAACTGGCAATTCGTTTCTGTATTTCCAGTTTGCTTTCATTGAAAAATAAAATGATTTTGTCTTCTTATTTTCTTTTAATTAAACTCCCAGAACCAAAATAGCATTCTTTTAATGGAATTATCTTTTAATGGGATAAGTACTTTACAGAACCTGGGGTTTTAATTACTTGGCACTTCATTTTGGGCCTTCCTTGGCCTGGGAGTCTTCCACAATACTAAAACTTACTTATGTGCAAGAGAGGAACTCTCTAAGAATTAGACATTTCCATACTTGCTTCTCTTTATTTCATTATTACCTCTATCATCTTCATGGTTCAGCTTATCTGGTATCATTTTATGTGCTCCAAACTAACAATGTATTAAACAGCAATATTGATAAACGTATTTGTGAAGGAGAAATCCTAGCTTTGGAAAACTGAACTGACAGGTTGGTGTTTTCTGAAAAATGATGGAGCTTCAGCATTAATACCACTAGTCCTTAAATTTCAGAACTATATCTCCTTAAGCAGTACACACACACACACACACACACACACACACACACACACACACACACACTAATTACTTCAGAAACTCACCAGAGAGAATAGGAGGACAATTGAGGAAACAGGAGTCATCTCTCACAAATACTGCAACAGTGAATTCTACTGAAAACATGATCGGAGAGTAACCTTAGTAAGTGCAGATGGAGACAGAAGAGAGGAACATGGAGAAGTGGGATCAGGTACAGAAGGACTGAATAAAGTAATAGCAGAGTCAAGTATCACACTCACCCACCATGAATTTCTCCCTGCCACTTCCTCTCCCGGCCCCCCCCCCCCTGCGCCACCCCTGCCAACTTCTTGAGAGGAAGAATAAATATCCTGATTCAGAGTATATGTATGCATAGCTAGCCTACATCCCTGTGTCTCTCAAATCTTCCCATATGAGCTTGCAGAAGACGTGGGTGAGTGTGTGTGTGTGTGTGTGTGTGTGTGTGTGTGTGTGTGTGTGTGTGTTGTAGACTGTCCATTTCTCCATAGGGCCACTATTTGGTAAAACCTGTATGTGGAGGAAATCATCACAGAAATGGAGCTGTGGTCTGTTAATGTTCTTGGCTGCAGGAGTGCTGGTCCATTACCTGTTACCTCTTTTCAATCAACAAAAAACGCTTTCTTTCAAAATCAGTTTAAAATATCATGGTAACAATTACCTAATGGATTTACTACTTTCTATAAAATACCTTATCCAGGATCACACAGGACTTCCATAATTGAAGAAGACGTGCATATTGTTTCCAGTGATAATAAATTTTGGCTGGATATAAAACAGCCGTCAACCTCAATCTTGAAAAATTCTGGCTTGAAGCCAGGACCCTACAATATCATGCCTGTTCTAATCCAACCAGACAATGAGACTGACATAGAACCTCTCCCTTGGCTTTTTCTACTTTTCAGTAAAGCACAAATGCCTCCCAGGGGAAAGTGATAATTTTCAAATATTATCAGTAAATGTTATTTCAAAAAAATTGTACTTGGAAGCATCACACATCTTTCTGATAAGTACAATATTTTCACTTCCTTTGTGATTTTTTTCACATGTAGTATTTGTTTGCTTTTATAATAAGTAAGGGGCATTTGTCAGAACTTAATCATCAAACAAGCCTTCTCCACTAATTCTTTGTTGGGGTTGAGAGGGGCAGCACCAATAAATTCTTCTGTGTTTTGCAATACCTTCAAACACCTTCACTTTCTGACCCTAAGGAAGTCATTTTCTTGTGACAATTACAGAGATCTCAGTTGAATTTTTGGCCTTACATTGTCTACATGTTTATTTTTTCTATCTCATCAAAAACCCATTTCTGAATGTTATTAAGGTTATATCAAAGCCAATGTTTCATTTCAAAGTCAGCTTTTAATTTAACCTTGATGAGGCATGTTGTCTTAGACAGACTGTGTGGCCTATGAACAGCAGAAATGCATTTCTTAGTTACAGTGCTAGAGGTGAAGAATATTATCAATGTAGCTGGGTTGTGGCAAGGTCTTAAAGTGCATACTAGAACCTCATGTGGCTCTAAAAAAAAAAAACTAGAAAGTTATCTAGCATCCTTTCATAGAGAAACCCATTCCACTCATGAATATTCTGCTTTCATGAACTTAATCCACCTCAGAAGCCCTACCTCTCCCTACCTCCTCCTAGCATCATCCTGAGAGTTAGGACCTTAACAACCAATCTAGGGAAACACAAACATTCAATCTTTTTCTCTAGAAGAGTGTCCTCATAAATTTATCATACAAAAATAATTTAATGTTATTATATTTTGTTTATCTTACAGCATTTCCTTCCCAGCAGTTAATTGACATATGAATCTGGCAGTCTTGCACAGGTGCAGCCTGAGGATGGTACATCATCATGGAGGGGAAGTTGGAGAGTTTGAATCACTAAGGTATCCTTATGTTTGATTTTAAGGTTGATTACAAAGTCATCATGCCTATGAATTTTCTGTGTTCCTGCTAGTTAATATGATCTAGATCTTGTAACTCAGTCTTTGACTAGTGCAAAAATAAACCTACTTTTGGACTACTGTATACAGGAGACAGGAATGATATATGTTAGGAAAGACTGTGCTATCTTTCAGCATAGAGTAGCTGCATCAACTTCAAAACTCGTAGGCACTTTTGAAGCTCAGGGGTCTGGCTCAAGGAACCTGAAGACCTGTGTTTTTCATACACATTAAATAAATATTCTCATCCAATATCTATGAGTCTCATCCATTACCAGAAACTCCCCTGGTCCTTTTATAATAGCCCTAAGTAGTTGGTGAAGTTAACTTTCCCCTAGTTCTATTATTCTTAACATGTGAGCCTGGTCATCAGCCTCTCCTGCCTTCAGGCTGAAGAAAATGAGAATCTCTTTGTGTGTTTATAAGGAGTCCCTTTAGCATTCACATTTAGTACTTTATTGACAGTTAATCTCTTCCAATCTTTCATTTTCTCTTCCCAGAGTGCCAATTGCCCCTAGCAAAAACTATTCAACACCATTGCATTTATAATTAGTGTCTCTTGTGGATCTTAAATGTTTACTAAAGCAAACTCGGTATTGCATTTCCTTTTACCAGCATAATGTCACATAAATAAACACCAATGGTGAAAGCTTTATAATTTACACCTTGTACCAGTCCATCCTTGTACTTCCTTGACCTTGACTACTTTGTCAGTGAACGACTCAGCTCCAAACTACCATGTTATTATCTACTTTCTCAGAACAACTGTTAAACACACTTCTGCAGGACTTGGACTCTGAGATTCAGAAACTGAGATTTATTTAGGCTAAGAACTTCACACAATTTCAATTAACAGTATACAAAATAACCATTAACTATGAAGGGAGGAAATAACACTTTTACATTTTGGTCTTCTTTGTAATTATTATCCCTAATCACATGGTCAAACTTACTATCAGCAAGTAACAAAAGAACAAAAACTGATCCTTCTGATGTAATACAATGGGAAATACAGAACATCATCTATGCGTTACTTTTGACAAAATAATAAGAAATCTGATCATAAGGAACCAACTGGACAAATAAAATTGTGTGTTAATTGTCAAGACCACTAGCCTATATTCTTGAAAATACCATAGTCACAAAAACTGAAAAGATGAAAGGAATTGCCTTAAATTCAAGAAGTTTAGAGAAATATGATGACTAATTTTACTGTGGGATTATTAATCAGTCGCAAAACTGAAGTTAAAAACAGCTAAAGAGCATACAGGCTCAGTTGAGTAATCCTGGATATGGACTGCACATTAGAGATCATTATAATATCAGAATTTGATTTTTTGAGTATGGTAATGCCACTGTAATTATATCAGAGTTACTTGGGTACATAAGGATCAAATGTCTTGGTAATAACATTATGACTGCAAAAGGTTATTTAAAGAAGGACATGAGAAGAGAAGACACATCAAAAGTTCACAACTGGAGGATCTGGCAAAGTAGACATAGGTAGTAGTATTATTCTTTCTATTTTTTTATTGGCTTCATCTTTTTCAAAACATAGAGGAGCAACATTCTAAATTCTAACTGCAACCCAAGTCCTGATCAGCTTCAACCAGTTTCCCCATCATAAAATCTGTGCACAAAATTCAACTCTTATTCTGCTTAGAGACTTCCCCAGAACCAATGCTTTCTTCCTAAAATTAAGGCAAACTATATCAAGTTAAATTTGATGCAAATTTAAAAGGATAAATAAAAATAATATTTTAAAATAGGGAAAATGTGTTAAGTTTGCATTTATTAGAAATACCCCCACAAGGCTCTCATGCGGGCTCTTTATTTATTAGTGTTTATTCACTGTACAAAGTAACAGGCTTTGTAATGATGTTTTCATTGGTATTTTATCTCTTAACACTCATTTTCACAAATTCACATAGATCATCAACACTAAATCTCAACATTCCCCTAAATATTTGCTTTGGACACCAGTTTTTAGGTTTGGGGAGTCTGCTTCTATTTTCTGAGGTGACAAAAATCCCAAACTATCTTTGATAAAATATTTAATGTGTTAAAGAAAAATTGCCATCTTTTAAACTTCCTTTCCAAAAAAAAAAATGGTTTCTCCTGTCTTGCCACTTCTTTCTGCCAAGGTCACATATCCAGCCTATTTTCAAAGAGAACATAAAGTAAAACTTAAGTTCTATAATGACCATCATTGGGGGATTATGGAAAAATAGATGCTAAAAACACAGACATGTCTTAACGTATATAGATTAAGACTTTGGGAAAAAAAACTTTTTAATCCCTGGTTTACAAAGAAGTAGTAACCTCTATCTTGTCGTCTTATAAAGAGCTAGTTTTAGGTGGTATTTTTCTCTGAATGAATGACTCTCGTTTCAGGAATGTCTCCTTTCTAAATTTAAAGACTTTGCTGTTCTTCTTACAGACAAGATACGTCAAAGTGAAGAACTCACATTTAGGAGATTAAGGCCCTGGATATGTGTACAATATCTGAAGCATCCTTGAGATTCAGGCTTCAGTTCTTTCTTATGAGAAGATGTCTTCTCTTTCCTAGCATATTTCTTGAACCAATAACACTTTGATGGAGCCCAAGTAAACTTTAACAAGTATACATTTCTCCAAGATTTTTCTCGCTTTGCTATTTAAAGTCTCTCTCTCTCTAGTCTCACAAATGGCCTAGTAAATTCAGACTCATATTTTAAAATAAGTACCCATATGCATCTACGAACCTTCATAATACAGTTATGGAAAGGCGCCCCTCACTCCATACATAACGAGGTGAGCTACTTTGAATTTTGCCATGGGAAATATATGAAGCTATTGGGGAAGAAAATGAAGCAGAAGCTCAACTTAGCTTTTATTGGACAAAAAAAAAAAAAAAAAAAAAAAAAACACCCTAGATGGTTTTGTGAGCAAAGAAAAAGAAGTTCTCCATAGGGTTGAAATGCCACGGAACTGTTATGTAAAGCAGTTTTATTAGAAATATATTGTTCCAGACAGCGGCAAAGAGAACAGTTTTAATCCAAAACGCTTCTGGGCTCCGTCCCTTCTGGCTAATTAATTTGATTTCAGTACTGCTCTGGTTGCTTCGGCCTAGCAATAGCTATTAAATATAGTGTTGTGCCTTTCAGAAGACTTTTACTTTACATGAGAGCCAGAAGG